TGTGTGTGTGTGTGTGTGTGTGTGTGTGAGTGTGTGTGTGTGAGTGTGTGTGTGTGTGTGTGTTTGTGACTGTGTGTGTGTGTGTGTGTGTGTGTGTGAGTGTTTGAGTGCTATAGTTTGAGCAACAGTAGGCAGTATGCTGGTAGTCGTTCCTAACTCTCACCACTAGGTGTCGTGTGTTGTGCTCAGTCTGACCTGCTTCCAGCATCTGAACGGATCTCAGTGTCTGCTGTGATCACTGAATATGTCTCCTGAGACTCTGCTGTTCGTCTGAAGCGCCTCCAGCTCGCCGCATCCCGATCCAAACGCTGTGATCAGCACTTTAAAGCAGCATTGATTTACCGCTTAGCGGCCCTGCGGGAGACCTGTCAATCATCACAGAGCCACGCCCACCTCTATGTGTCAGAGGCGGGAGGAGGGGCTTGACTGCTCAGAGCTGTGACTCCAGGGTCACTTCTGTTCATTATATCTGTGAGTCTGTGCAGCAGTGCATTATGGGTCACGTTCTCACTGCTTACGGAGAATAAGTGCAATAATTTCTAAATTTGCAAATGCATAATCATTCTTAAAGGGGTCTTAGGAAATGTGTGTTGGCAGTGTGTGTACACAACCATCCTATAATGATAAAAATACACCCGGTGTTTTTGTTTTAATCATGTTAAATGTTTTCCCCTTTCTCAAATTTTTATAATAAATTAAAAATAATAAAATAATTTATTTATTTAATTAAATAATAAATTAAAGATCAGTAAAATTTTAAATAATCAATTATATATATATATATAAATTTCTAAAATTAATTTAAAATTTTTTATATATATATATATATATATTTAATTGAATGATAAATAATAATAAAAAAATATATGTAATAATTTATAATTTATACATTTAGCAGAAGCTTTTATCCGAAGCAACTTACAGTGCATTCAGGCTATACATTTTTTTACCAGTATTATTAAAAATAATACACTTAATTTTAATATATATATATGTGTGTATGTGTGTGTGTATATATATATTTATATATATATATATATATATAATTCATTAAATTAATTAATTATATATATATTTTTTTCATTGAATGATAAAAAGAAATAACATTACAAATAATA